AATGAAATTATAATGAAATTTTAATGAAATTGGGTCAAAATTGTGAATGCTTTTCAAACATATTTCAGCAAAAGTTCATTATATTTTCAATGAATTATTTCCATCAGATACAAATATCTCAATTGAGATCTTACATGCGAAATTTTGCGGAAACCTCAACTGAGAATTCAATTGAGAATTTAATTGAGAATTCAATTGGGAATTTAATTGTGATCTCAATAGAAATTTTTCAGTAGGGAGGACATGTTGGTATTATGGGAAATAAATCTGCTGATGTTATGGCCAAGGACGCAGCCTATGGCCGATTTTTATCCGGTCCACACAAGGATGTTATTTTTGTAAACACCATTGAGAGAATTCTTCGCAATCGTATGTGCCAACAAACCTTTGAGTTTTTCTCTGAAACCTCTGGACAGCGTGGTTATTTCCACAGAACACGCATTAAAACTTTGTCTCCTTGGTTTTTGGATTTTACTCATTTGGACAGAAACATTTTAGTAATTATAGGACGTATAAGGTCCTTTCATACAAATACCGCTGAGCATCTATTTGATAAAGGAATTGTCGATAGCCCATGCTGTGACTGTGGAGAGGTTGAGACTCTGAACCATGTGTATTGCCCGCGCAACTGCCGGGAGTCTGATCTGCTGCGGATTGGTCTGTTCCGCGCCGGTGTTGTCGGACCAATCGAAATTACTGATGTGGCTTTCAGTGACAACGTGAGCGCTTTTAGGGAACTTGCTCTCTTTATTAAGCGTTCAGGAATCTGAGTGACTTTTCTCTTTTGTGATGTTGATCTTTCTTTTTTGGTTAATGGACTTTGTTCCGAAACCATAGACAACAACCAACCAATATCGACAATGCATATCAACCGCGGCGCATTCAATCATTACAATACGTCTTGTTGATGACTATTATACCAGCTTAATATACCGTTGTTTATATCGTCGATATTAAGATTATCTAATAGAAAGTTACTATTTAGTACATGTATCAAGTACGATGTAAACCAAGCCAGTGTTACGGAAAGTGTGTGTGGCCAGCTTTAAAAGTGCCAGCTCCTCAACACTTTTGTCGAACATAACCTGAAACTATGTGAGCCATAAGATCACAAAAATATTTAGCGTTGAGCAAGAGATCCTCTTCGTCCGTGTAAGAATAGTTGATGTCAATTGGATTCGCATTGTGTATCTCGTTAATAATTCTAACATTTCCTAGAAGCGTGCAACAATAAGTGTCGTGATTTATTTTCAACCCCGAACAAGCAAGACGCAACAGTGACTTTTTATTAGCAGTTTACTTAACACTTTTTTTACAACATCCATTTTTTATTAGCAGTTTCTTTAATTGGTTTGGTAACAGTGCCACCATGTCTCAGTCTTCCTTGAAGATATTTATGTCTATTTGACGCTATTCTTTTTATTCCTTTAATTTCAAATGTTTTGCGCTCGCTAAATATTTATAGGTTAAGTATTTCCACACGATAATGATGAAGATTGAGTTGGCTCTATTGAGAAGTAAATTTCGCGGCTCGATACTGGGTGCTTTGGTCGGCGATTGCGTCGGCAGCCCGTACGAAGGTGAAGAGACCTTGACGCCCGGCACGAAAACCGTTCTACAACAGTCTTTTGACAAGTTGGAGGGAGTCGAGTTCAAAGGTTTGAGTTTTGACAATTTGTCTTTGTTTTTTGTTCTCACATGCAATTTCACGGCATTTAAATAACAAGTTTAAGTATTACTCGCCAATTCAATTCGCAATATACGTTAACTATAAACCTCTTTGTTTTCAAAGAATCTTTTCAACTGATGCATACTGATCAATAAGTTAGAGAGAGATAAATATATATTGCTTCAATATAACTTATTGCAGCAGTGTGCATTAATTCAAGAAGTTCTTCGAAGAAGAATAGGCATTATGTGTGATTGTATAGAATTCACTCTACATGTGTATGTCTTGCATGTTGGTTTGTTCAGTAAGTTGCACTTCTGATATGGAGAACTTTTCAACTATATAGCGCCTGTCATGCAGTTTACAGATGACTCAGCAATGACACGGTCTTTAGCTGAGTCATTGGTTGAGAGAAAGTCTCTGGATATCATTGACATAGCAAGACGATTTGTGAAAAGTTATTACCACGAACCCAATCGTGGTTATGGTGCCAATGTTAGAACTGTTAGTACTATATTTTGTATCAATCCCATTATACTGTAATATTTCTTTTATATATATATATATATATATATATATATATATATATACACATATATATATAATTATATGCTGTGAATATAGTTATATATTGAATTTAAAAATATTTAAATGCAAAACAAACTTATGTATACTTATTTGGATATGTTCTGTTATGTTTTGCAATATATAATTGTAATAAAAATTCACTTACATAATTTTTTACAGTAAACAGTATATACAGTATATATACTGTGATAAAAATTTTAAATATTCTATTTTTTATAGTAATTGTAAGTATAATTATAGTTGTATACTATAAGCATACATAATTATGCCTTAAATTATTATGCCTTATATTATTAAGAAATTTAAATTCAAGGAGTAAATGTATTCATGATTTAGATGCTATATTTTACAGTATGTAACTATAATAAAAAGAAAGTTATATCATGTAACTTGTTATAGTATATAACTGTGAAAAGAACTGTAAGCATTGTATTTTTTACAATTATATATGATAAAAATTATATGCTGTAAGTATAATTATACACTGCATTTATAAAGTTTAAATACATAAAAAAAATTTATATATACTTATAGTTTAAGTATGTTGTGCTATTTTTTTACAATATATAACTAATAAAAGTACACTTACATTATAACAGTATATAACTGAAAAAAGCCTGTGAAAAATATTTTTTATAGTACTGTCTTTTACAGTATTTTTTATTCAAAATAATATACTGCAAGTGTATTTTCTTTGTAGTTATACGCAGTTATACTGTAAAGAAATATAACACAATGTATCTAAACCATAAATATGCATAAGTTTGTTTCATATATTTAAATTTTTGTTTAATGGATGATAAAATGCAAACTCTTTTACAAATGTGCAAGATATGCATTCATATTGTAAGATATTGTTTTGACTACAATTTTTTCAAAGCTATAGGTCGTGATAATAACAAGTCATATTTTCTGTTCACACAGGTATTCCAGAAATTACGTGCTAACAAGTTAACGGATATATATGGTCCAGCGAAAGATCAATATAACGGTTTAGGTTCTTTTGGTAATGGCGGCGCAATGAGAATTGCTCCTTTATCTTTATTTTGTTACAACGATCATGATCGACTTGTGGATTACACTACAAAAGAAACCGAAATCACACATACGCATAAGTGGGGAATAAACGGCGCTATTTTACAAGTAATTGCAGACTGATGTCCATTCCCAGTAAACAAAGAACATTAGATCAACATCTTAAAATATTTATTTCATATGTACCTCTTGAATGTTTTCTGGCTTAATATTTGAAAACTATTTCAGATATTGCCGAATATTATGATCTTTTTGAATTTTACAAAAATGTTTTAGAAATATTGAAGTGCTGAAATTACATAATGACGTTGACACGTTAAAACTACGTATTAGAAAACGCTATACGCTATTGAGTATCGCTGCAATAACGTTCTATCGATAATTTTTTGCTTACTGGGTTAATAAAGGACCTATATCTGCCGTATCTAAATACTCATCTCATAAATATGTTATTCTTACAGGCTTTGGCGGTCCAACAAAGTCTAAATTTAAATCCTAACGAAGAGTTGGATGTTTCCAGTTTTGTTGACAATCTCATTGAGAAAATGGCTAAAATTGAAGTGGACCGGACAGACGATTAGTATGTGCCTGATATCCTGATATTATTCGAATGAATGTATCATATAAATACATCGTGCAAATGTTTCTTTTCAATAGTTTAGAATTAGACGAGGATAGCTATAAAGATCAACTATGCGCAATAAAAGAATTAATATCCGAGGATGGCGATGGCCCTCACGACGAAAAGATAGTTCAGAGACTGGGCACTGACATCAACGCTTTGTATTCAGTTCCCACTGCGATCTTTTGTTTCCTGAGAGCGCAAAGGCCTATAAAAGGCATCAAGACTGACAATCCCCTCAGAAGAGCAATTCAATATGCTGTAAGTTACAAATTATATGGAAAACTATCATGATCGAATGAGCATATATCTCGCACAGATAGAAACAGAACTGCCATTTACATTGTCTAATATACTTTCCTTATTACTATCTCATAGATTACTCTGGGCGGCGATACAGACACAATTGCTAGTATGACTGGTGCAATAGCGGGTGCTTTCTACGGCGAACAGAAGCTCAGCCCGCTGCTTCTGCAACATTGCGAAGCGTCGGAACAATTCCGTGAATTAGCCGACCAATTGCTGGATGTAGTTACGCAGGCATAGTTAATTAAATTTGTCGCGTTTATTGTAAGATATATTTAGCAGTTAATTAGTAACGGCTTTTTTTAAATAGATCATTATGCCCTGTGGTTGTTTGTACGCACTTTATTTACATTACTTGAACTACGAACAACAATTTTCTACTTAGGCGACACATTTGTTACTAAATATCAGATTGTAATTACGACACGGAGACTATTTCTGTCTCGTCCGTGTTGCCAAGTATATTTTATAGCTAATAAATGATAAATTAAAAGTGGTAACTCTGAGCTGTCTGGATTTTGTGTATGACTAGTGGTGGTAATTTTTCTACGTTCTACTATTTGCTATACGAATTTTCGATTCGCATTGATTTACTTGTATGGCGATTATAAGCTTTTACAACAAAAATTATAATATTAACGTCCCGCAACTTCTAAGTAGTCAGGGATGTAAATAGAAACGCGCGGAGTCGAAACCGTTTAAATTCCCCTAGTCGATTCGGTTCCTCAACTTCAACGATCACAGAAGTTTTAAATATAAGCACAATCGGTCGCTCAATCAGTCTATAACTTTATCAAAGCATATGCTAAAAGTGCAAAATTCATTAATGACTGGACTAAAAAACATTAATCGTAAATATAGTAACGATACGTATATCATAAAGCGATATCTTATATAAAGTTATAAAAATGTACATAGAGTTCGTTAATATAAAACAATTGTTCTTTTTTTAATAATTTCACATTTTCAGCGCATATTTAACAATGGATTCAATTTTTGCAAACTTGTTCCGGTTTAAAATATTCAAAAAGTGTCTTAAAAATAATTTTATCTCATTCATTCAAGTAAATAGATATTATAACATTAAAAAATGTGGAAACTTTCGACAAACAAGGTTTGCAGATATGTTAATTATACAAACCTGCCGAAAAAGACATCGAATTCGGCATTCTACGAAATATAAATTTCTCAATAAATTTGGAGATACCAAAATGGACGAAGATTTGGCACCTCTTGATCCGTTTCGAAAGATAATTATTCTATATTTTCAAACGTCTTTCACGCATTCTCACACGGACCAGCCATGGTTTTACATATCATCTTACTATTACAAACAATTTAAATATCATATACTCTGAACAGCAATTATGAACACAACGAAGATACCATGATAACACACATGTTTACAAATTGATGCAGATCTCATGCGATTTCCTCTTTCACACTTTACTAATCTTATAAAGAATCTTCATAGAAGGCAGTTATAAATAAATATCTATTATTTAGACAAGAAATAATTTTTGTTTGTATAAATTAAAAGCACTTTATGATTTATCGCAGATTTAGCATTTCAAAAAGTTCCTTGTTATAAAATGTATATTGCGAAAGTTCAGGTTTTTTCTCTCGTAGAAGCGCATACAGATCGCAACTTGCTTCCCTGTGAATCGTAATAAAAGCTAGCTAGGATAAACTTGCGCGAAGTAAGTCAGTAAGAAGATAAAATATTTCCGAAAGAGTAATAAAATATGCAAACGATATAATGTCTTTCTTTTTATACAGGGTGTCCGGTAACTCACGGAGGAGCCACGGTGTACAGGTTAGGTTAAATAAAACATTCATTTACCATTTTGCCAACAACCACTTAAAATTTTGAGTTGTTAATTCAAAAGATTCGTGAATGATCATACGTCATACGGTAGGATCAGCTGTGACGACGTTTGTCACTACATTCAAATTGAACAAAAAAAGTCTTCTACCATTTCCTGAATGAACTCCTTATAGAAATTTAATACTGATAATTTAGCCAGTAATAATTTCTATCGTTTAATAATTTTATTACTCGTACGAGTAATAAAATTACTATTTATTACTGGCCAATTTATCACAGCCAGTGATACTTTTCTATAATGGACATAGATATTTAATTAAAATGATTGGTGCATTATTGTGCACTACTATACACCAAACTTCTTTAATTTATATCTTAGAAACGTGATTATTCGCGAAATGAAGCAATTTTTTCGTTCAGTTTGACTTAATCTATCTGCACACTGCAGTACCTCTGTGAGTTACTGGACATTCTGTATAATAATAATAATAATGGAAGTAGCATAATAGTCCTTAATTTTCCAATAATAGAAAAATTTCAACAAGCCAACATGCGCGCAATTGCGTTTTATTCTATTTAATTGCGTTTTATTTTATTAAAATAATATCTTAACGAATAAAAACTTCATCCTACACGCGTAGAGTGATCAAAAACCCTGTAAAAACATTAGAAAGGTCTTTTCTTGATACCTCAGCCTCTCTTTCGCTCTTAAAAATATTATTTAAATACACTTATCGTGGAGGTCTACGATCTATAGTTGACATAACCGAAAAATAATATTCATAACAATATTCCGGTAGTGATAGAATATCGCTTACGGTCTTTTGTGCCGCGTCTACTAATGAGATGATGTAACAACATCCGCAGGAAGTACATTTATCAGACGTTCTTCGCCAATGAATCATCTGGAGTTTTCAGTGTCATAAATCTCCAAGTCTGAAATTTATATACGCTGCTTCTGCTCCTTCGCCACGATTCTCTTGATTGATAATATCAGAAGTGAAAAAATATATCTTCAAAATTCTTGTGTAAAATACTTTGAAATAAAAAAAAGATATATTCATAACATATATATATGTGTGTGCGTGGTACTTCCAATCGGTCAAACAAATCTGCAGAATGTTTCTTTTTGCTCTAATGATCAATAAATAATAAAAAAAAATTAATGTAATATGCAATCTATTTTTTTTTTATTTATTTTCGCTGATTTTCCCACGTTAATTCTACATTTCTTCGCTTCTGACATCACTGATCAAGATGACCGAGGCGAGAAAACATGTTGATTATGTAAAATGGCATCGAAAATGCATTATCTAGATTTCGAAAATTTAATTGTAAAATAAATGTAACGTCTAAAAGAGGTCATGATATTTCAAATGTCTTGGACCTTCCATTCCCGTATCCCGACTTTACGCGTCAAAGTTGCAACTGAACAGACACGGCGACGGAACAATAACGGAATATTATTCGGTGGGTGAGAAATCTGCGATTGCGCCTACAGAAATTTTCACGGACGTATCGATTAATCGAACACGCAGGAGAGGACTTGTATGAGACAATTCCCTATTCTGGCGCACGTTCGCTGCCCTTGGCTGGCGCATTCCTTCCTCCTGTTTTTTCGGTTATCCTGTCGTTCCTTCTTACCCGGCTTTAACATATTGCAGTCCAGACCGTCACACTTGTACCTGCCGATCCTGGGCGTGTCCGATAACATGGATGGATGAACAGCTGATGCGCCGCGTACCTACAAGTATAAAACAGATACTTTTAGCCTTCCAATAATATAAACATCGCCTCGATAAAAAGGACGGCGAATGAAAGTGCGCGCTCACGTTACTATCCGCCGAGCTCTCGGGATGCCTGAGTATCCTAGAGACGATGTGCACGCATTCCTCGTTAGTCAAGATACCACTCGCCATGGGACCACTGACAAATTCTTGATCGTTCATAAGAAGGTATCGTACGCTGAAGCAAATATCGTCGGAAAGCACAGCTCTTTTGTTGAACGGCAAGGGCTCGAGACCCTGTCTTCGGCATTCGGCTGCGGCCCACCTGTCCAACGCTGAAAAGAGGACGCACTCGCTGCTGAGATTTAAAGTATCACGCCGTGCTAGTTGGGCCACTTCCTGGACGTTGAGTTCTTCGAAATGTTCCTGACGCAGCACCGTTACCGGATTCGAGTCGATCACAAACAGGCACTTGAGCAAGAGATCGGTACATACAGCCGCTGCAATGTGAACGAAAATAGAACGTTAAATATGGAAAATTGGGTGATATCGGACCGGAGGCAAGTTACAAACGAAGCAAATATCGAGCAACAATAATAATAACATTATATCGCTGTTATAATTTTCCATTCAACGATGCAATTGTTATGTACAACGTGTGTTATATTGAATTTAAATATTGTTGAGTGAGGAATTATAATAGTGATGAAATATGTTACTATCACTTGTGATGTTTACTTTATATGGGAAATTAGTTATCTAGTAAACAGTGTTAACTATAACATTACTTAAATGTCATAGTTTCCCATTCAACAATGCAACTATTATGTACAAAATTTGTCGTATCAAACATCGCTGAGTGGGAAATTATAACGGATGTAATGCGTTCCTATTGTAATATTTAATAAACACCAACTAACACAATAAAATTACAACATTATAATTTCTCACTTAACAATATAAGTATTATGTACATGTGTTATATTGCATTTACATTAGCTGCGTTCGGCATTGTAAATCGAAGATGTCGGATTGTTCTTTTACTTCGAAAATGCGTAGAAGTGAGAGAGATATGAGATCTTGTATTTTTTTCATTTTTATGCATCTTCGAGATGAAAGAACAATTCGACGTCTCCGATTTACAATGCCGAACGTAGCTATTGAAGTTACTAAGAAAGTAAGTTTTTATCCAGTAAATACCAACTAATAATCACCCAGTAAACATCAAACAGTAACGTTATATCAATATTATAATTTCCCACTTAATATGTAAGTGTAATATAACATATGGTATATATAACAGTTACATTGTTGAGTGAAAAATTATAACATTGACGTTACAGTTTGTTGGTTTGGTTTGGTGTAAATACTATTTTAGTAGATACTTTACAATAAAAACGCTTTGATCTTTATTTGATTTTTATATATCGTTATATTTTAAACAAAAATATGCAAACTATATATTATTCTTGTAACTTTAAATATAAACGATAATAACAATAATATATAATAATAAATTTTCTTAATAAAATTACCTTTTAGTATACATTTAGTATACAGATAATGTCGCAAATGGACAGACAGGACAAAAAATAAGAAAAAGTTGAATAAGAAATTATAAAAAGAATATGTTCAACAGATACAAAGAAATAAATAATAATTTATTTGACCGTTTGTTTGCAATGTGGACGCGCTGTTTTTGAAAGAACTAAATGTAACATTATTAGGCCGAAAACATACCTATTTCATCGGCTTCGTCTCCGGGCGGCAATGGTGCTGACGGTGAGTGCGACGGTCTGTCAGAGACAGGTGACGTATCGCTTGCGTAGAGTCCTAGGCCCTGATAGATTTCGAGCACGGTTGATTCTGTTAATTTCTTTCCTAGATACGCCGCGGCAAGCCTTGCTAATTCTGGACAGAGATATTGATGCGCAGCGTCAAGCGTAGCTCTGGCCGTCGACACCGATATGAAATTTACCGGTTCGTCGTGAAGATATCTGCAATTTTGAAAGTCGGATAAACACTTTTTCGCTTTTGTCTTTTTTGAGCGTAGATGCTCTTCTTGTTAGCAACGCGGAAAAGAACCTCGAACTACAAATTAATATTTTCTGATATTTCAAAATACTTCATATTCTTGAAGACTGTACACACTTCAAGTCCAATATTCTTATAAGCACTTTCGAGAGAGAAATATTTCTCTTTTGTTGTTACTATGGTAAAAATAATATTTCGAGGGTTCCACAAAGTGAAATGACAAACTTCAAAAATGTTGGTAACATCCCTTATAGAAATATCATACTAAGAATCATTGATAATTACTTATTATCCAGTATTTTTAATACTGAAAATAAGTAATTATCAATGATTCTTAGTATGATATTTCTATAAGGGATAGAGACGATTATTGAAACATTATGACAAACAAAAACAAAGATAAGCACTGACACGATCACGTTACTTTTCTCGTATTTCTTTTTTACACATAGATTTTATACAGGGTGTCCTAGATCACCATTCTCAAATTTTATGAAAGCGTACAACGGATTGACGTGAACATAAAAGTCCCATACCGTTTTGCGATATTTGTAATAAATTTCGAGATATTAATTAAAGAAGATTGGTGAATGATCACGCGTGATATGGTAGATGAGCTGTAGTAGCGATGTGTGCTATTGTGTGCTTGTACATTAGGTCAAACACAATAATATAACAGTTACATCGTCATAATATAACGGAATGTAACGCAATATAATATGTTTGTTACATGTAACATACATGTTAGTTATAATTTCGCACTCAAACGATATTGCAACTATATAACAGAAATATAATATATTACTAAAATGTTATATATATATATATATATATATAT